GATACATGGGTGGACACATGATCTAGGTACCATACTTCCTTCCTACATGGTACCCAGCTCCGTCACTCTAGAGTCAAAAAAGCCTGTCCCCTGATGCCATTTTGTGAAATGAACGGTCGTCCAGACAGGAAACTGTCTTCTGGTTTCACTTTGGCCTAAGCTTTGTTCCAGCTGTTGACCCTCAGACTCATCAGTCCAGCTTGTCTGAATGTCAATTTTTCACATTTGTGATGCTAAAGATATCTATCTGTATTCCTGTTATCTCTGGAAGTTTGGACTGATTTAGCTGTTCTATGCCTCAGTTTCCCCAGCTAAAAATGGGAATATCTATCATTTAATACCTGTTTATTGTCTCCCTAGCATGATCATTTATATTCACCCATCCTTTCTTCTGTTCATCCACCCCTGTTTCTTTCCTCCCCTCCACCATCCACCTCAGCATCCTTCCATCTGTCCATTCATCCATGTACCTAACCATCCATCCTGTTCATCCGTGTATCTAACCATCATCCTCCTTTTCATCCGTGTATCTAACCATCCTCCTGTTCATCCGTGCATCTAACCATCCTCCTCCTGTTCATTCGTGTATCTAACCATCCTCCTGTTCATCCGTGCATCTAACCATCCTCCTCCTGTTCATCCGTGTATCTAACCATCCTCCTGTTCATCCGTGTATCTAACCATCCTCCTGTTCATCCGTGTATCTAACTATCCTCCTGTTCATCTGTGTATCTAACCATCCATCCTCCTGTTCATCCGTGTATCTAACCATCCATCCTGTTCATCCGTGTATCTAACCATCCATCCTCTTCATCCGCGTATCTAACCATCCTCCTGTTCATCCATGCCCCCTTTCATCTTCCCTTCCACAATTCGTTCATCCAACCATCCACTCTTTCATTCTCTTTTCATTCTACCTATCCATACACCCGTCAGTTCATGCTGAACATTTCCCCATCACACATCCATCTCTCCATGCATTCCCACATCTACATACGCACTTCTACCTGATCTTACTCAGGTTCCTGCGCATCACCCTGCGGCTCAGGAGCACTCTCAGAGTGGCCAGCCGGCATGATGTCAGAGGATCCGTCCCCATGTTGAGGAGCTTTCCTGGAAGCCAGCCTGCCCTGCTCTACTGACTGGCATTGACCCATTTGAAGTACTTGTCTTAGAACTGACCACGTGGCTTACCACTGTCAGTTAACTGATGGATCATTGGGGGTGAATGACTTATCCATCACTGAGCCCATAGGGCTCTTCAGCAGGCACCGCATATACGAGTTTGGCCGTCCTCTCTGCTGAGGCACGGTAGCCATAGCAGATCCTGTTTTGGCCTCAGCCTGGCCCTCCCTTGCTCAGCACCAGGGAACCCACCTCTCTGGTGTGTGCTTTGGCCTCCCACTTCCGGGAAAGCCTCCAAGGTCATCACTGGTGGCCTCAGCGTGTGTACCTGCAAGGGTCAAGGATATGAGTGAAGGCGACCCCAGCGATTCCAGATGTGGGCTCTGACACTCACTGCTGCGGTGCCTCCCCTCGGAACAAACATTTCCTAGCATGGTTCCTGCAGCTGCTCTAGCAACCTTTCTCTGCTCTCACCCTTTCCCCTGGGGTCACTCAGAAGCATCATTCATTCATCCTCATTCACCCATTCATTCGGAAAATACTGGCCACATGCTATGGATTTGGAAAAATAGCAAGTTGCCTCAGCATCCCCAACAGACTTGCTCAGGCAGTTCATTGTGCCTAGAATGTCCTGTCCTCACTAACTCCCATGAAATCTCAAGTGCCAGATCCCCCAAGAATAATCTCCTATCTGATGTTTCCCAGGTTGGGCCAGAAATCTAAGCAGAAATATAATTGCTTATCCCCAGACCTGTGAACAAGAAGTAACTGTTATTACAAACCACTGGAATATGGGTGCTGTTTGTTATGCAGCATGGATGGTCACAGTAAAAGCTGTCCAATACAAATGTGCAAGCTCCGTGCTCAAGGTCCCATCTTCACGCTCAAAGGCAATAACACAGTGGGTCAACAGCTAAGTGTTGTGGTGGTTTAAATGAGAACGGCCTCCAGAGACTCGGCATTTGAATAGTTGGCCCCCAGCTGTTAGAACTATTTGGAAAGGATTGGGAAGTGTGGCCTTGTTGGAGGAGGTATGTCACTGAGGGCAGGCTTTGAGAATTTTCAGTCTGTCTGTCTCTGTCTGTCTCTCTGTCTCTACCTCATGATTTATGTCTCAAAATGGAGCTTTTTTCAGCTATCATGCCTGCCTGCCTGCTGCCATGCTCTCTACCGCAATGGTCATGGACTCTAACCCTTGGAACTGTAAGCCTCAAATAAACTCTTTCTTCTGTAAGTTGCCTTGGTCCTGGTATCTTATCATAGCAACAGAAGTAACTAAGACAGTTTTTTTTGTATCTGTATGTATGTGTAGTCATGTGTGTGTGTGTGTGTGTGTGTGTGTGTGTGTGTATGTATGTGTGCATGCATGTGTATTTGTGTGTGCACACACGAGGAGGCTAGAGGACAATCTTGAGTGTCATCTTCAGGAATGTTGCCTACCTTGTTTTGTGAGACAGTCTCTTACTGGCCTAGAACTCACTAATTAGGCTAGGCTGACTGGGCAGCAAGTCCTACAGATCCTCCTGTCTCGGTCTCCCCAAAGCTGAGATTGCAGGTGTGTGCTACCATGCCCAGCATTTTACCGGGGTGTGGAGAATTAAACTTAGGTCCTTCTGCTTGCAAGGCAAACACTTGGCCAACTGAGCTATCTCCCCAGTCTATCACTTAGGGCCAATGCTGTGCAGATGTTTCTAGAAGAAGCAGAGCCCTAGACCACGGGTAACATTAAAGCATGGCTTGAGGACATGGGGAACATGAAGGACACCAATGGCCAACGAATTCAAAAGCATGTTCTCTGGCATCTAGTAGCTTGGCTTTGTGGCCCAGCACGGTTGCCTGTGAGTCAAGATGTAGGACTCTCAGCTCCTTCTCCAGCACCATGTCTGTCTGCATGCCACCATGTCCTACCATGATGGCAATGAACTAAACCTCTGAAAATGTGAGCCACACCAGTTAAATGTTTCCTTTTTAAGAGTTGTCATGGTCATGGTGTCTCTTCACAGCAATAGAAACCCTGACTAAGACAATGTTTATGGGCAATGTTACTTCGGGAAGTTTGTTATTTACCCTCTTGAGTGCAGAGGGACCCTAGGATCAAATGCTCCCTGAGGTGTCTTCATGGCATCTTTGAGCATAGACACTGGGTGGGACGCCCTGAATTCTACTCTGGGACCACAGACAGAGGCCTCAGTTTGCTCTGTACAAGAACAGTTGGGGTAGCCCCCACCTCAGAGGACTCTTATGAGGATCAAAAGAAATAAAGTACAGTTAGGGCTGAGGAAATGGCCAAGTCAGTCAAGTGCTTGTCCCACAGGTCTGAGGACCTGAGCTCCACCCCCAGAACCCACATAAAAAGCCAGGCAAGGTAGTGCATGCCGGCACCGGGAAGGTGGGGGCCAAGGGTCCCTAGAGCTCACTAGTCAGCCAGCCTAGCTGAATCACTGAGCCCTGGGTCCCAATAAGAGACCTTGGCTCTAAAAGCAAGGTGGACAACTCCAGAAAATGAAAGCTGAGATTGACCTCAGGCCTCCAACCACACATGCATGCACACTGGTGCATACATGTGCACCTACACACACAAACACACAAAGAGAACCAAAAGTATGAGGAGAGACACTGTGAGCCCCAGGCAACGTCCTTGGCTCTTCATCGGGGTGGGGTGGTCTGTCTGCAGGGCCAGCGGTTGCAGGCAGGCCCTCAAGATGGGTGTGGTCAGCATTCTCTACCTACATCAGTGGGACCCTTGCCGCCTTCTCCCAGAGCCGGGCACAGAGATTCAGTGATGCCCAGCCAATACCTCCTTCTCCTCCACCTGCCGGCTGTCTGGCTCCATCCAGAAGACCCACCAGGGCTCCGTTCCTGTGCAGAAGGTCCTGGTAAGAGCCCATCTCTGCGATGGTCCCATTGGCCAGCACCAGGATCTGGTCAGCCTGGGGCAGGACGTGCAGCGTGTTCGTCACCAGGATCCGAGTCTGGGCAGGGGAGGGGCAGAAGTGACATGTGCTGGAGTGTCCCCAGGTCAGAAAGGGGGGAAGGCGCCCCTTCCTGTGCACCTGCCCTTGTTCTGGAGAACACCATATCCAAAGAGAATAGTGGGGTATCTCCAATTGAGAAGATGTGGGTTAGAGTGAACCTTTGGGAGCCTCTCATTCTGATGGTGTTGTGGGGTGATCCGAGAAACCCACGTTAAGACCAAAATAGAACAAGTGGAAATACATTAAAAAATCTTTTTTAAGACAGGGTCTCATATATACCAGGCTAGCCTTGAACTTACTCTGTAGCCAAGTGTTCTCACTTCATTTCTGTTGCCATGACAAACGCCAGGACCAAAAGCTACTTAGGGAAGAAAGGTTTTATCTGGCTTACACTTCCAGGTCACAGTCCATCACTGAGGGATGTCAGGACGGAGCTCGAGGCAGGAGCCTCAAGGCAGGCCTACTTGTTCCTCCATGTGGTGTTAGCTCCCATTAGGGAACTCACAGCCCAGGAAGTACAGCAAGATCCACGAGGATGCTGCTTATCGGATGGCTCCCTCACAGCACCATGCTTGGCCAGCTTCACTGTACAGCCCAGGTCCACCTGCCTAGGGATAGCAGTGCTGGTGTCCACACTGGGCTGGGCCCTCCTCCATCAATTAACAGACACGCCCACAGGCCAATCTTACCTAGGAAATTCCTCAGTCAAGGCTTTCCTCTCAGATGACTGGGCTATGCTAAAAGTTAACAGTTAAAGCTGGCCAAGACCCAAGGATAACCTTGAATTTTTGACCATCCTGCGCTCATCTCACAAGGGGTAGTGTTACAGGCATGCACCGTGGCTACTCACGAAGTGTTGGGGGTGGAACTTAGGGCCTTGTGCGTGTAAAACCACCACTGAGCGGCACCCTGATAGGGGAATACATTACATGTAACACATCGAGCATCAGAGCTCAACCGTAAAGTGCTTCTCAGAGCTGGATTTTTCCTCCTCGAGATCACACAGCAGATGGAACCACGGTCCATGACCACCAACCAGCACTATGATAAAATATGGCTTCCCAGGAAAAGATCAAAATCTTTAAAAAAATAAATCTTAAAAAATTAAATGTGGCTGGAGAGATGGCTCAGTGGTTAAGAGCACTGACTGCCCTTCCAAAGGTCATGAGTTCAGTTCCCAGCAACCACATGGCGGCTCACAACCATCTGTAATGAGATCTGGTGCCCTCTTCTGGCCTGCAGGGACACATGCAGGCAGAATGCTGTATACATAATACATCTTAAAGAAAAAAAAAAAAAAAGGCCAAAAAAAATTAAATGTGGACCACTTTTAGATCATCATAAAATTGAAACATTATAAATAGTTTAACTACAAATCCCCTAAGAAAGAAGTAAGGGTAAGTCACTAGGATTTGAGGAGCTGTTTGTTACAAAGCATTGTTGTAGGAAAAGCTGATTGATACAAAGAAGATAACTGGACTCAAGAAGAGCTGATGAGGCAATGCTTGGTTAGGACAGAACTCTCAGGACTTTCCCAGCTTCACCCTGACACTCACTTACCGTACCCCGGAGCAGTCCACTGGGCCCGATGACCTGTTTGAAGACATGCTGGCTGACGTGGGCATCCAGGGCCGCCAGGGGGTCATCCAGCAAGTACACAGCAGCCTTTCTGTACACAGCCCGAGCCAAGCTCAGCCGTTGCTTCTGGCCCCCGGAAAGATTCATGCCCTGGGAACATGAGACAGGGACTCAAACACACATCTGCTGGTGACATCAGAATGACCAGGTGGTGGTGGTGGTGGTGGTGGTGGTGGTGGTGGCACACGCCTTCAATCCAAGCACTCTGGGTGGGGGCCAGAGGCAGGAGGATCTCTGTGAGTTCAAGGCTAGCCTGGCCTACAGAGCAAGTTCCAGGACAGCTAGGGCTACACAGAGAAACCCTGTTTTGAAAAACAAACAACAATAACAACAAAACCAGAGTGACATGGGTGAGGGACACACCTGCTCATTCAGTGTGGGGCAGCTCAAGGTGACTCTGTCCTTGGGTCACACTTGTCTCTAAACACTGAGCCAGGATCCTTGCTGGCCTGAGCCTGCTTCTCCCCTTCCCAGAGTCCCTTCTGCACTGTTCAGTCTCCTCTCTCTCTTCCAGGTTGACTCCATGCCTCTCTGCCCAGCCCTTTTCTCCATTGGCGACATGTTCCCGGAGGACGCCACTCGCTCCCTTGTCTAAATTTCTAGTCCTTATTTTCAGTCATTCACTTACTCAGCTAATGCTCACCCATGGTGACTCTCCTTGGATGTACTTGGCTGTGGGGATCTAGCAGTGACAACCTGCTCTCCTGACCCTTTCATCTAATGAGCATGTGCTGGGAAAGGTGACAAGATCAGGCCTGTCCTCAAAGGTGACGCAGGGCATAAGCCCTGTGTGTTCCATGGAGACAGTGTTCACAGGCCCTGGAGTATGAGTGTGCTTGCTGGGGTCCCTGTAGCTGGAGAGAGCAGGAACATGCAAGTATGACAGGAGATGAGGTAGAGTGAGAAATGGGGTCACATGGGGGCTTTCTGGGGCTGGTCAAAACTTTGACTCTGACTCTGAGGGAACAGGAAACCCTGAGAGTTCTGAGAGGAGGGAGGGAGTGACTTGACTTGTTGGCACAGTGCTCTCTGTCTGCTGGGCTGGGATTGGTCTAAAGGGAGAAAGGATAGAAACTAGGGGCCTGAGCCAGTGGTGGCACATGCTCATCATCTCAGCACTCAAGAGGCTGAGGCAAGAGGATCACAAGTTCTGGACCCTGTCTGGAACAAAAATAAACAAGAGCCTGGAGCTCATAGTTGAAGCAGTTGCTCAGAATCTGCAAAGACCTTGGTTTGATCCCCAGCATTGATTCCCAGTTCCCTAACCTAGGGGTCAGCCCACATTTTCTAGGATGGGTCAGAGAATAGCTCTTGTAAAGTTTGAGGGCCATTTGATGTCTGTCCCAATTGCCCAACTCTGACCATTGAATGCAAAAGTAGACATAGACCATAAGCTGTGGATAGATGACTGTGTCCCAATAAAACTTTATTAATAAAAACAAGTAGTGGGCCAGTCCTTAGCAAATAGTTTTCTGATTCTATCTGTTCTATAGCTTCAGATGCTTGTGTCCTGTGTGGAGACCATCTGGCTTAGATTCTTTGGTGAGGCCAAGAAAGGGGAAGCAATTTGACTAACAGTACCCAGCAGGGCATTCTGCTTTCCTTTTGTTTGTTTTATTTATTCAGTTTCTCTCAATAACTGAACAGCTGCTGTATGTTTGACCTTGACCTGGGGCCTCCTTCCCTCCCCCCTTTCCACCCCTACTGTCCCCCATCATACTGGCCCCAGATCAGGGAGGTATATGGCCCCAGGGACTCCTCACCTGCTCCCCTATTGGGGTGTGAACTCCTGCAGGGAAGCTGGCCACATCAGACTCCAAGGCACAGGCTTCCAGAACTTTCTGCAACCAGGGCAGGTCCAGCTCCTGCCTGAAGCACACATTCTCCACCACCGAGGTATTCTGGACCCAGGCCTCCTGGGGCACGTAGGCCATGGAACCCTGAAACACGCCTCACTGTAGGTAGTTCATATGAGAGTAGGAGAACCGGGTGCTGAGAGGGTGGGAGGCCGACAGCGAATGGCTGCGAGGCGGGCAGGGAGGAACGGGTGGCCTTACCTCAATGCTCACAGACCCTTCTACCTTCAACAGCTCCCCAAGCAGGGCAGACAGCAGGGAGGACTTCCCAGCCCCCACTGGACCCACAACAGCCAGCAGACAGCCCTGGGGCACGGTGAGGTTGATCCTGACAACCCAGGGGAGATGCAGCCCTGAAGGTCCAGCCTGGGTGTGTACAGAAGCCGGGAACCCTAGACACTCCCACCCCATCCTGCTGTTCAGGCCTTGGGGAGACCATTAAGAGGACACACAGGGCCTTCCCTCCCCTGACCCTTGTCTGGCTGTCTGAACTGCCTTCCCTCTCACACCTGAGCATATCACATGTACACGTGTGCCTGCCACACAAGCACTTATAGACATGCCACAAACATTAGTACACACAGTCACATGCACAGCCAGTATGCAGATGTAAGCACATGCATGTGCCCACGTGCACCACTGCATGCATATCCATGCACACATGCACACACAGAGGGGATCACGATGTGGGTTGCTTGGCTACTGTCGTCTCTTGCTCAGGCCTTTTCAACGCACACCTCTTCCTGCCTCGGCCCTGCCCACCCCTGCCCATCTTCCGCTGTCACCCTTACCCAGCAGTCACGGGGACCTATTAAAGACCAAGCCAAGGCTGGGTGTGATGGAGCACACCTCCCAGCACGTGAGAGGCAGAGGCAGGCAGATCTCTATGAGTTTGAGGCCAGCCTGGTCTACAGAGTGAAACTCTGTTTCAAAAAACAAAACCAAATAACCAAATCGGTTCCTAACCCTCCCAAGCTACACCATCCAGCATTCCAGTTTGACTGAGGGCCAGAAGGAAAGCCCTGGTGAATACGACTTATGACCAGGCACACTCTTTGTGCTTCTCCAGCGGTCCAGTGGTTCTCAGCAGGGGTAATTTTGCTCCAGTGGGGGTGGGGTCATTTGGCAACATCTAGAGGTATTTTTGTCACACAGCTGATTGGGGCTGGAGTTCCTCAGCGCTTAGTTCTGCCAAACATCCTACAAGGCCCAGGACGGCCCACAGTAGAGAATTCTCAGCCCCAAACACCGACAGGGTAAGACTGAGAACCTGGCCATGCTCCTGCCTCAGGGTCTTTCCACAGTTCCAGAAGCCTTCTCCTGACCTCTGGACCCTCGGCTGGAATGCCAACCTTCCCACGCTATGGGCTTTGTCCCTTCCCTAGGCTTTCCACTGTGTCCCATGCCCATCCAAATGCCACTCCAGGAGAGCAGAGGCCCGGCCTTCCCTCTGTCCCCAGCATCCAGAACAGAGTACACACAGCAGGAGGCTGCTCAGTGCACACTCCTGAGAGTGTGGGGAGAGGGAGACAGAAACGGGCAGATTCCCTTCCTCTCGGTGGGTGACAATGACCTTGGAACTGATACAAGAGGCACAGAAGGAGGTCACAGCTGATGAGGCTGGGCCTTGAGTCTCATGTTAGTCAGGTGGGGAGCAGAGGAGTGCCTGATGGGGGCACTCAGGTACTCTGTGTCTCTTCTACAGGGCTGTAGCATGCAAGAACCCTTGCCTCCCTGCACAGAACCCCGGCATAGCCTAGCCTATCCTCTAGCCCCAGGTCCGACACCGTTTCTCAGAATCTAAGAGCATCTTTCGGTGGGGTTTCCTACCCGTGCAGGCAGGGAGGGCTCTCTTGGGACCAAGCGAAAGTGCCATTGTGTACAGAAATTCGATCCATTGAGGCTGCAGGACATAGAAAGACAGTTACAGGGGCTGGTCCTGCCCTCCTGGCATCCCAGGTTCAGTGTTCAAGACCTCAGCCCTTTGCTCTACCCTCAAAGCATCAAGTTTCAGCTAGAAGCCTCACAAGGCCCTGCCCTGCTACCTGTGTACTTGGCAGTGACCCTGTCATAGTAATTCGGACACTGGAAAGCCTCAGCCGGGGATTCAAATCCTGTTGGCTGCCTATGTTTGTTTGTTTTGTTGTTTTTTATGAAAAAAAAAATTGAACTAGGCATGGTAGCTCATGCCTGTAATCCCAGAACCTGGGATGTTGAGACAAGAGGGTAAAGAGTTGGAGCTAGCCTGGGTTATAGAGTGAATGTGATGCCAGCTTGGGCTATATAATGAAGATCACTAATAAAGTTATTTATTCTTATACTTAAGTAAATAAATAAATAAATAAATAATCTCAGTGTGGTGGCTTGTGCCTGTAATCCTGGTATTTGGGAGGTGGAGGCAGAAGGATCATGAGTTCAAGTTCAGCCTTGGCTACACAGCAAGTTCAAGTCGAGCCTTGGCTACAACGCCCTGTTTCAGAAAGCCAGAAAAAGGGGCCAGAGGGACGAGTCATGGTTAAGAGCACTGGCTGCTCTTGTAGAGGATGGCAGCTCATCTGTAACTCCAGTTTCAGAGGATCTCACACCCTTTTTGGCCTCCCTGGGCATAAGGCACTCACAAGTACACAGACACACATGTAAGCAAAACACCTATACATATAAAGTAAAAACAAATAATCCTTGCCCCAATTTTAAGACAAAAATTAAATAAATGGTAAATAAAATGCATTAATTTTGCATATGTTCTAATCTAATTGTAGTACTTAAATTAATGTGACCCCCAAGACAACCCCCTGCTGCAAGCACTTGGATCCTGAAGATGGACACTGAGGCTCCAAGAGGTTAACACATCAGAGCTAGGGTTCCAATGTGTCCCTGGGGTGGGACGTCCATCCCAAGGGCAGGATTTTATGTACTATGTGGGTATGTTCTAGACGACCAGGTTGACCAGATGTCTCAGTTATATGAACTGGGTGGGAGGCCCTTGGCTGGGGACAGGCTATTCTCTGCCCTCCCTCCCACTCCCTGCAGCAGCTAATGTCACATAGGCAGTAGGTGACAGTGGCAGGACTGAGGAGAGGAGCCAGCTAACTAGAGCTTGTGAGTCCCCACACTGATGCTCTCACTGAGTCTTCTTAAAAATAGTTTATTTATTATTATGGACATTAGTATTCTGCCTGCATGTATGTCTGTGTGATGGAGTCGGATGCCTGGAATTACAAACAGGTGTGAGCTGCCATGTGGGTGCTGGGAGCCAAACCTGGGTCCTCTGGAAAAGCAGCCAGTGCTCTCAACCACTGCTCCATCTCTCCAGCCCCTGATCTGAGTCTTTAGCTTAATAATGTGTCCATGGTTCTCTTCCTAGACTTCTGCATAAGGGTAAAGACTTGATGGGGTACCCACTCGAGTGTCTAGGTGGCACCCCACGGTGCTCCACTGGCTGTCACTGTACAGGTGGCAGAAGCAGAGGCTTCACAATGTTGGGTACCAAGGGCCATGGCTGGTGGTGGAATCTGCATTATATGTGCTGTCTTTGGCCCCTCCCCCTGCCCATTTCAGCACTCACCGCATCTGGAGGGACTTGAGTCCATGCCACTGGGGTCTACTTCTTCCAGACACAGGAAGGCAGCCAGCCGGTCAAAGGACACTCGAGCCTGGAGATACAAGAGTGGGCTGGTCACCAGGCCAGAAGGACTTTGGGTGGGTCCCTGGAAATGCCAGGGGGAGGCTTCCTGGGGACCCAGCCCAACACTTTGCATTTGCTGGATGTTGGGACAGAGTTTTGTAGGTCATAGAAAAGCGGTGACCTTGACAGGAGTGGGGACTTCTCTCTGCCCCTCAATCCAAAAGAGAGAGACTGAACAAACCAGCTGCCTCCAGCTAAGGCCTGGGAAGAGGGCAACACCTTTCCAACAGCGTCCAGCAGCAATGTGGAGTAACTTCCAACTCTGTCCATTGGGGGCACCTTCTTGAGCACCCATTGCATACCTATCCTGGTGATTGGTGGTGATCCTTAAAATACAGGTGGCCTGGGGCTGAGGAGATGGCTCAGTGGGGTGACGTGATTGCTGTGGGAATATGAGGACCTGAGTTCAAGTTCCCAGAGCCCACGTAAAAGCTGGGCATGGCAGTCCTTGTCTGCCATTCTAACATTTGGAGAGTGGAGATAAGTGGATCCCTGGAACTCTCCGGCCAGCCAGTCTAGCCAAATGGATATGCTCTGGGTTCAGTGAGAGACCTTGTCTCAAAATTTAAAGTGGGGTAGAGGGAGGAATAGCTAGAACTAAGGATTTTTGAAAAAGCCATAGGGAAACCTGCTACTTTAGAAGCTTCCATATGTGTGTGTATATATGCATTTAATTGGAGTTACTCTACACAAGCGATAATGCTTCTCTCATAAAACATGTATTACCTAGTAAAATGCCTAGTGTCGGACATGGGAATACCTCACCTTTGACCTAGAGAGACCCCTAAAACACCAGATGCCCACCAGAACTTGATGGTAAGACTCTATTGCTGAAGGCACAGTATACTTTGGTCATAGGGCATGGAGAAACCAAGCTGATACTGGCTGGGCAGCTTTCTCCCTGCTGGCTGGCTTTTCTAGTACCAGAAGGTGCTAGGCAGGCTGCTAGAGGAGAAAGTGACCAACTCTCTTCCCTAGCTGTGAATCCTGTGAGCTACAGATGACTGCCATGGGAAGATGTGCTCATGGGTACAATAGTGCCTTTAATGTGATGGGGTAAACAACAGTTTTCTGGTGGGTCTAAGGCCTGCTCCACAGGTGGAAAGGCACAGCTGGAACTAAACATCTGGCCAGTAAACCATGGTTGGTGAGCTTATGGATGTTCCGTTGGAACCTCCAGCTTGCCCCTGCACATTCTGGGAAGCCCCATTCCTGTCTGTCTTTCCAAACCCTGCCTGTTCAGTCTCCAAACACAGGAAAGGGGCCCAAAGCCCAGTTCTGCATTCTTGGTGGCTACGGCAGCTCCTCCCCTGAAGTTGCCAGCTGCCCAAGTCCCCGCCCAAGCACCCAGCTTTTGACCATACTTGGGCACAAACCCGGCTTGTGGCAGAGAAGGCCATTACCCCTCACCTGCACACACACACACACACACACACACACACACACACACACACACACACACACACACACACCGGAGGACAAAGGAGGAGGAGGCAGTTCAATTTCGCAATCTTCCTCCTTTTTAGCATCCCAGATACATGATAGGAAAGATGGAAAAGGCAGAGAAATAAAAGGCTCCGCTCAAGGAGGGGACCCAGGATGAAATCTTGAATGTAGAAGTGACTCATTCTCCAGGCACGCTTGCTGAGACTTCCCTGCACCCTCTGACCCACTTCTAATGGTGACTGGCTGAACTCTAGACCTTCCCCTTCCCCTCACTCCTCTGCCAGCAGTGGTCCAGGGGTGCTGAGTCTAGGCCAAGCTCCCTGAGCTCCTTTGAGCCATCCTCCGCCCCTCCCCTCCCCTCACCTGAACGATGCAGTGTACAGAGAAGGGCAGGAAGGCCTGGGCTTTGTTCAGGATGCTGAGCACTGTGAGGGTCACAAAAGCCTTCTCTGCATCCATGGCGTTGTCCTCTGCCACCAGGGTGTGGACAGCAAACACAACCAGCGCCACCTATTGAAGCACATGGGTGACACTGAGTCTGCTGTCCTTAGAGGCAGGCAGAGCCCGCTGGGGTGTCTCTGGGGTCTGTGTGTCCAGGCTGCAATGCTCCGGGCACAGCCTGTCCACCCCAAGCATGCCCTCTCCCAGCCCCCTCTCAGCAGTGAGGCCAGAATGACGTCACCAGAAATGTAGACACTTGGAAGGACATGAGAGACACAGAGAAGAGGAGGGTGGAGGTCTTCAGAGCGCCTAGCTCCTGGCCCCGGATATGAAGGAGTCTCTCGAGGAAGGCTTGCTCCCAGCCATGGGACTTGATGGTTCTCATAGTTCTGAGTATGGAGCTGGTGAGCCGCGCTCGGGAGGCCTTCTGCCTCATCTGCTCTTCCTGAGACAGGAGAGAAGAGGCAAGAGAGGGACCAGCCTGGAATTCTCCATCCCTGCGGCTCCAGACTCTTTCTCCAAGCCACACACCAACCCAGCTTCTTCACCAGGGTCCTGAGCCACGCCACCCTCACTCACCCTGGACTTTCATCCCTCCCCAGAGCTGTCTCAGCCTCCTGAGCCTGCTTTCACTGTGCTAACAAGAAGCCACCAGTCGGTGTGGTGGTGCTACCAGGGAGGCTTCCCGGAGGCGAGGGTGAGCTACATCCTAAGTGAGGAGGGCAGGAGGCTGTAGGTACTGAGTGCACAGCAAATGGGCAGCTGGAGTGGGTGTAGAGAGGAGAGGGAGACCTTCAGAGAGGGAACAGTGTGACTCAAAAGAAATCCAGGTAGACCACGGGAAAGGGAGACAGCGAACAGGGTTCTTCAGGGAGAGGGGTGACCGCCCGCCGCAGGCTTGAAGGTCAGGTGGAAGTGTCTGGGGTTTCATGTCCCATGCAGGAGACCATGGCGCAGCTGTGTGAAGAGTAAATCTGAGGCTACCCAGGGACTGGCCAAGCTGGTTAGCAAGGAGAGAGACGGGGCATGGACCATCTGCTGGGAGGGTGTCCAGGGATCTGTACAAGCAAAAACAGGGAGGCGGGGTGCCCGCCTGGAGGGGTCAGGAAGGCTATCGAGGCAGCAGAGTGGAGTGAGGCCAGGCGACAGTGAAGGACGACGGGACAGCCGGGAGGGGTGAGCTCATCCACTGCCCTTCCTGTAATTCACCACCTTTACTGGACACTTTCCTTCCACCAACACTGGGTCTGCTGTGCAGTCCAGGCTGGCCTCATCCTCCTGCCTCAGCCTCCCCAGCACTGGGACAACAGGTCTGTGCCGCCTCAGCAGGCTTACTGAGCACATGTTATTTATTTATTTATGAGTATATAGTCAAAAATATGTATAGTAGTAGACCAGCCTGGCCTCAAACTCACAGATTCCCCATATCTGGCCTCCCCCACGCCCCACCCCCCACCCGCCAGGCTGGGATTAAAGGTGTTCATTACCATACCCGGCTCAACCGCTTTTGTCTTCACACAGTTATCTATATGTTTATTTATTTAATACGTGTTTGCGGGTGCGCATGCCACCGTGAGCATGTGGAGTTCGGGGGACAACTTGAAAGGGCTCCTTTCACCTCGTGGGTCCTGGGATCACACTCAGGTGGTCATGTTTGTCAGCCTTTATCGGCTGAGCCACCTCACGAGCCCCACCTGCTGCCCCAAATGCCGGTCAGCCTCAGTCCTCGGCTCAGCAGCGTCTAGTCTCAGGGCTGTGAGCTCAATACTGGGACAAGCGCTCTAGAAACAAAAACTCGAGGCAAAGGAGACCGGCTTGCAAGACTGGGTGTGGCTGTGTGAGGAAGCAGAGCGGGGTGAGGGACAGAGGCAGGGGACAAGGGCAGGTGACAGCCGGCCATGGCGGGGGTCTTAGGCTTTGACACCGAGCAACATCAGGAAAGGAGGTATGGCTTCTCTGACTGCCACACTTCCCTTCTGGGTGGTGAGTGGGGATGAGGGGCAGAAGCAAGAGTCAGCAAGGACAACTTGGGGCCACCATGGGAAGGGCCACACTCTAAAAGGAACAGAGGCTTAGCCAGGGACCACACGTCTGAACACAGGAAAGGCAAAGCCAGGACTATAGCCCCTTCTTGCCTCTCCCTATCTCTGTCCCCAACCAGAATCCCCATGGCTGTTCCCCTGCCCAGGATGTCCCCATTCCCAAATGCCAAACCTGATGGTAGCTCCTTTTCTTGGTGATGAAGAAATTCAGAGGGAGGAGGCTCAGGAAGACAGCGATGGCTGTGAGGGCAGAGGGTCCGAGGAGCTAGGGACAGAGGGGCAAGGTGTCACGAGACTCCAGGGGTCTGGTCACACCACCTCCCAGGGCTGGGAATTCAGGCACGTGCCCCTGCACCCGGCTCTTTATAAAGGTTACGGGGATCTCGACTTCCGTCCTCATGTCTACACAGTAAGACGTTTGCTGTCTTCCCTCCCTGATCTTTTAAATGTGTGTCTATTTTTATTGGGGTGACATGGCCTCAGCACCATGTGGAGGCCAGGAGGTGACCTTGCAGTCATCTCTCTCCATCCACGTTTACATGGGTCCCCAGGATCCAGCCTCGGTCCCCAGGCTCCTGTCACCAGACAGCAAGCACCTTAAATGACCCCCTGAGCCGCTTGCAAGCCCCTTTTGTGGTTTGTGTCTCTGGAGACCAAGTCTTAATCCAGGACGGTCTCAAAGTCACTATGTTGCTGAGGCCGACCTAAAAATCCTATCCTCCTGCCTCCACCTCCCAAATGCAAGTGTTGCAGGCATGTGCCCCACACCCACCTTCCGGGCTCACTGTTAATTTAGCCTCCATCTCACCTCTTAGTAGGGAGTCAGTCACCAGATTAACAAATCAACACACAAATTTGAGGTTTCTGAGATTCACACACATGAACGCACGCGCGCGCCTGGTATAAGAATGCCCCATGCTAGGTGTCTTTATGGTTAAGAACATTCACTGGCTGCTCTTCTCAAGGACCCAGGTTCATTTCCCAGGGCCCACCAAGCGATTTAAAACCGTCTGTAACTCCAGATTCAGCGGATCTGTCCTCTGTGGGCACTGCATGCATATGGTACACAGACATACAAGCAGGCAAAGCACTGTACACACAAAAACAAATACATTTTTAAATGGGGCTGGTGAGGTGGTTTGGGGGCTAAGAGCACTGGCTGTTCTTGCAGAGGTACTGAGTCCAATTTCCAGCAACCACAGGGTGGCTCACAACTATCTATAATGAGATCTGGTGCCCTCTTCTGGCGTGAAGGCATACGGAATCCTATACATAATAAATAAATCCTTTTAAAAAAATAATGCCCCGGGCAATATTGGAGATGTAGTTATACTGAGCAATTATTCCGTTTATTTGAAAATCCCATTTAACTGGACCTCTGTTTTGTTTGTCACTCCCTCCACCAGCTTTGGAACTTTGGGGGCCTTTGGTCTGGGTACCTGGGAGATGTAGTGGTGGGGAGAGAATAAATGATTTTATAAAGTATAAAAATAAAAAAAATTATTGTGCTTTTTGAGATTTTCTCCACCCCAACTCCAGTCTGTGTTTCTTCTCTCAGAACAAAGGAACTCTTCTATCCTCTAATTCCCCGGACTAAAGCGGTCCGCTTGCTTTATTCATGCAGCAATCCCACCACCTAGTGGCTCCACGGAGAACTGCCCGGAAAGCAGCGAACAGCCTGGAAAACGCTCCTTGGGAAAGCTGACGCCCACCCCCTCATCTCAAATGCTTTCCTTTAGCATCCACAGTGCCCACCATCCCGGTAAGGTTAAGACTGCACGGCCGTCCTCTGCGGCCCGGGCAGAGGCGGTGCGGGGTGTTATCTGTGGGTTCTGTGGCCTCGGAACACTATCAACCTCTGTTTGCTCAACACCCCGATTTCTTCACAGCTCCTTCCCCCTTCCCCTGCTCCCCTGCAATAACAGCCAGCTTTTGGATACTGCACACAGGCACTGCTTGAATGTCTGTGTGTGCTTGCTGAACACCTACTGTGTGTAAGCCTTGGGATGGTCAAATGTCAGTGCTCATAAGTAGGATTTCATCCGGGCATGACAGCTCATGTCAGTCCTCACAGACTCCAGCCTTTCTATACAGCAAGGTCAAGGGCAGCTTTTAGTGAGACTTGTCTCAAAATTTAAAAACAAAACAATACACTTTTTAAGGACTGGAGATGTAGCTCAGTGGAAAACCGCTTGTGTGGCACACTCAAGGTACCACGTAGATAAATACGGAAACACCCAGTGGTCCTCAGTGATGGTGGTAATGCCTCCTCCTCACACATCAGACAGCTAACAACACTACAGCAGGTGAGTGCCGGATGCTCTTCAAAGCACCTTGCGCACTCAGCCTGAGCATCCCTAATCCAAACACTGAAAGTGAAGAGCTCAAAAATCTGAAAGCCTTTGAACACCAACACGATGTCACAGTGGGAAACTCCATACCTCATCTCTCAGCAGGCCACAGTCAAAGTGCAGGGCTGTTAAAGACATTGGTCAACATGACCCTTGGACTATTTCAACAAGGCACCCACAAAACACATGCAATTTTCTTATTAAACTTGAGATAGAGCCTCAAGATCTCAAGTGCATTTCTAACTTTCCCGAGTCCAAAACCAGAACCACCCCCGACCCACGTGCTTCAGACAGAGGCTGCTCAGCTGCTGTCAGCCTGTCTGGCCCACCCATATAGGACCAGGAGCCTATTTCTAATTAGCATCTGCTTTTAGAGCTGAGGAACTGGAGCGCAGAGAGGGTGAGTTACTAGTGTGAAGTTCTAACAGCAAGCAAATGGTAAGAGCAAGATTTGAACCCAGGCAGTTCCCACAGAGTCGGAGCCCATCATCATCATCATCATCATCATCATCATCATCACCATCATCATCACCATCAAACAGAAGCTTTTGTACCATAAAGCAGAAGGAAGAAAGCCAAATAAGTTTCCACAGTTGATGCCGTGGCTCTGTGCTTTCTGCACATGGAGCAATCCCTTCCCCTGGCATTATGGTTTTGTTGTTGTTGTTGTTTTTGTTTTGTTTGTTTGTTTGTGACCTCGCTTCAGTGGCACCAATTACTCTAAAACATAATGGATTCACCTACTGAGTGCCTTGTGAACCCACCAAGCAGTAGTAATGGTAAGGATCACATCTGGATGGGTGTGGTGGCACACTCCTGCAATCAGCACCTGGAAGGTGTTCAAGGCCAGCCTCAGCTATGTAGAAGTTTGAGGCTAGCCAGGGATACACAAGGTCTTGCCTCAAAACACCCAAACCCCAAATGGAACCAAACTAAAACTCCAAAGTGGGGGAGAAGTTCATCAATATAACCAGCAGCATTTCATGAAAGAAGGAACTGAGTTCCAGAAAGGGCTAGCCTCTGCTATAAGTCAAGCCAAGGCCACTCTGTCCAAGACTATTCCCATTACGTCATCTTGCACTCTGCAGATGGAGACTGGGCTAGAGGAAGAGGAGGAGGAGAAAAGGATGAGGAACCAGAAGGGGAAGAACCAGAAGGAAGAGGAGGAGGATATGGAAGCTCAACCCCACTTCTCTGCTCCACACCTGCCACAGGTAGACAAAGCAGACTATGATCCAGAGGAAGAGCAGCCACAGCGCATTGAGGTAGAGGACACTCTCCGTCAGCCGCTGTATGTCCACCGACACCAGGTTGACCACATCCCCTGCTGCGCTGGATTTTCTGGAACCACTGGACAGCACCAGGACCTGGGCAGGTATGGAGAAGAGGGCATGAGGAGGGAAGGACGGGAGTGGGCACTGAGTGCAGGCCCAGCCTCAGTTTACCATCTGTGCAGCGAACCTGTAAACTCCAAGCCAACCTCGCGAGGTGGGCATGAGGATCTGGGGTGGAGGAGCACATTATTGAAAATAAAAAAGCTAGACAGGTGGTGGTCTTGGCTCATTCGCCTTATGCTAGAGATGCCCGTGCCCACACTGAGAGCAGTCTCCTTTCCCCAGATGCCAGGGCCAGAGCCAGGCTGCACTGCGCTCATCTCTCTCTCCCAGACTCTAGAGTCGCTTCGGTAAATGCAACTAGTCTGTGGTTACATTGCACCTCAAGGGTTGTTCAAAAGTAAAAAGCGATCCTGAATCAATGCGGTCCCTATTTTACAGCAAAGGAAACTGAGGAAGAAGATGCAGAGCAACTTGCCCCAAGAGACCTGTAGGCCATGAATTCAGGACCCCTGGGCCATGCCACAGGCAGCACAGGGTGCTGGATTCTCTCTGAGCCCCTCTGGCTCCAACACCTTTCTCTGGCGGCCTCTGATCCATCTGATCCTGGGGTCCGGGGACCCCTCAGCATGATGAATGCTGCTTCTCCCTGCCCTTGATCCATGGAGTGTAGAACTCTCTACTCAACATGTCTTTACAGAGGGCTGGCTGCCGCCCCACCCACCGTGACTCAGCACTGAAGCTTCTACCCCCGACTTCCCGCCCCGAGGCCTCCTGAGAATTTCAGTGGAGACAGGCTCGCTGGCACAGCCGGAAGCAGAGCGCGAAGGTGTTTATAGTTCATTTCAATGGAAGTTATGCCAAGTGCCAGGAAGGTGTCTCCCTGAAGGTCAGGGCAGGTCAGATCTCTGAGGATCAAAGGCTACCTTGCTGGGGTAGGGAGTATTTCCTCTTGAGGTCAAGGGAAGTCAGACATGGAGACTCTTGTGGGATGTCTGCATCCTCGCAGGAATGCACCTAACCTGCTGTTGAAACAATGGACCCCTTGAAACTGGCATTTCCCCGGGAGTCTCATGCTGGGAGAGTGAACAGACAGAAACCTGGTGCCGGAGGGGAACTTGTCTTTGGGAGAGGTTTCACAGGGTCCTGACAACTTGCCTGAGCACTTTGCAGAAAAGACAGACGGGTGAGGTCGCACCCAACCAGAACTGCTTAGCTAGACACACCTCTTACCCTCTGTTTAAATCTAAACCTCACAGTCAGGATCCCAAAGATGGACTCCGGGGTGTGGGCCACCGGGTGTCTTTGCTTCTCTTCCCAGCGTGGCCACACTGGGTAAACCTCCTGTCTCTGCCTTCCTTGGTCACTTGTCTCTTTAACTGGCCTGTTGGGAAAGATGTCCCGCCCAGCTTGTTGGGGCTGTGGCCCTGGCTCTGACCCCAACATTTCTAGTAACGTTTGTTCTCCCTGCCTGGTTGAGATGCTTCAAGCCCGTGTCTGTTGCAGTCCCTGGCATCACTCCTACGGAACAAAAGCCAGTGAAGAGGCTAAGAGATGAAGAGATGTGCTTGGGGAAGTCCCAGGGCTGGACCACAGAGACCTAAGAGTGCAGGAAAGAGAACGGCGGTGTGAGGGTCCAGCGCGCAGTACGCATGCTGCACGCTCCGGCCCCGGGGGCTCACCTTTCTGTACACCAGGCCGGTGATGGCTGTCCGCAGCCTCATCTGTAGGACCTTGATTCTGTACATGTACTGCTGCTCAAACAACGTCTGTAGGCAGGCTGACAAGAACAACAGCACAGCCAGGAGCCAGCCCGTCCACACTGGGGAGTCGCGGTCGCCCATGAACTCCAGAAACAGGCTAGGAAGAGGGACAGGCCGTGAGGCCGGGCTGTACCACCTGGGTGCAGAGTCAGTCAGTGGTGGTCTTCTGAACAAGTGGCCACAGTTGTTTCCACCCTGTCCACACTTCCTTTCGATGTGGGAGTCATGTGGTCCAGGCTGGCTTTGAACTCACTATGTCCACCATGACCTTGAGTTTCTGAGCCTGCTGTCTCTACTTCCTGAGAGCTAGGATACAGGCGTGTACCATCACTTCCAGTTTGTGTGGTGCTAGGGATCAAACCCAGGGCTTGGTGCATGCCAGGCAAAGGCGTTACCAACTGAGCTACAGACCAAACTGATGTCTTGCTTTGGCTTTTGTTGGGGACAGGACGTCATTCTGTGGTTCAGGTCTCAAGTGTGTGGCCCTGCTGCCTCGGGCTCTTGAGTGTTGTGATCACAAACCTGTACCAGCAGGCCCGGCTTTACTTTCTATTTTGAGACAAGGTTTCAATAAGTGGCCTAGAACCAGGGTGTAGCCCAGGCTAGCCTAGAACTTGCAGTCTTTCTCCTTTAACCTCCTGAGTGGGAAGGACAGCCCCTCACCACCAGGCCTGGCTCAACACTCCACCTCTTAAATCTGGACCAGGCACCAGCTCTGGCTTTTCAGACAAGGGAGGTAGTTATTGTGCCAACATCAGCCTTTGCCTTGGGCGTGTGTGGCTTCTGTCCTGCCTCCCGGGGCCATATCCAATAGCACTGGTAGGCCTGCGATGGTCTCTTAGGGGATGGAAATTGCATGGAGCAGAGACATGTAGCCTAGGTCACCTCAGACAAGCTCATCTGGGCCGACTCAATCACCAGCCACAACCACATGAGTGAGCACCTCAGTGGGAGCCAGCCCAAACTGCCCGTCCACACATCCTGACCAGCTAGGTGAGTGCCTGTGACTTTAAGCCTCTCATCTTGGGGATGATCGGTTAGCCCCAAAAGCTAACTGATAGCAGTCAGGTGACAGGTGCGGTCCTCTGTCCTTCTGGGGGTCGGTCACTTTCTCCTCCATGTCTTCTCCACTCCTGCAGCCTTACTGTCCTGAGTCCCAGATGTCCACACACGGGCAGAGAGAGCCCAAACTCTTCATCCCAGAAGGCTGTCCTCACCTGAGGAGCTTGGGGACAGCGAACCTGAAGGCATCACTGATGACCAGGCTGAGGGTCCCCAGCAGGAAAGTGGACCGGAACACATGCCAGATAGCCCTGAGCAGTGGGCCCCGCTGGCTCCTCCCTGGCTGCAGGAAGGCCTCTGTCTCAGGGGCTCCCACACCGCGGTTCCCTTTGCTTTTAAACACCTTGGAGTGCCTGGTAGAGGGGAGACATGGGTGTGGGGCCCACATTAGACTCGTGGATCTAGCGGGTCAACAAACTCTGACTGTTTTATTATTGTTATTGTTGTTTGAGACAAGGTCATTCTGTAGCCCTGGCTAACCTTGAACTCAGAGCACTGCTGGGGTCCCGGATAGGACTTAGGGGCCCTGGGTGAGCACTGCATGGCCTCTGGGTCTCAGATGGGCACTGCTTAGGGCCTTTCTACCATGATGCCCACTTTTAGGGTATTGAAGAGGACCCCCATTTAGAATCTCTGTTTAGATCACACACAGCACTCTGGGAAGAAGTGTGCACCTTGAGTCCAGTCAGTGATCGGCTGGTGCTTGGTGGGAACTGCTGACGGGTTGGGCGTGTGTCGGGGGAGCTGAAGCGGGGATTGGGTGGTACAGGTCATTTGACGGGTGCTCTTTGCCAGGCTCCGGCTGGAGCGCTGGCTCACCACCGCTCACCACCACTCACCACCGCTCACCACCACTCACCCCGGCAGCACACGACAGTCCTTCCTCCATTCCCTTTCCAGCTGGGAAACGAGCTCCTCTGAAGAGTTTTCTCTTCCCAGTGACCAGAGGTCTTTCGGTTCCAGCAGTTTCCTGTAGCCCCTCCACAGGAGCCTGTGAAAGAGGGGTCACCAGAGCAAGCTCCCCCAGCCGGCCCTGGACAAGAGCTTCCCCTTCGTGTTGTCAGGAAGATCAAAGATCTGAAACAAGTTTTGGACCCTGGACTTCTGCCTCCCAGAGAGGGTCTGCAAATGGTTAATTGTTTGGGGGTCCTGGGGGCAAGCGATTTGACATAGAATCCGGGTGGCACTCCAGTATGGCACAAAATAGCATGGCCGGTGAATGCCATGTTTGGGAAGCAGGGTTTGAGGCCCCTCGTGGAGCTATTGGAAGATCCCTGTGCACCCAGAGTGCCGAGTCCTTCATCTGCTGAATGACTGCCAGGGGCCAGGCCCTGGGCAAGGGCTTTGCGTCCTGCAGTTCATTCAGGTCAACCTGCTCTGCTTCACCTGAGGTCTGGCTGGAGCGAGAGCAGGACGGGCCTGATGGGTGGCTGTGGCCTTGGTTCACAGGAGACCAGCTGGAGCTGCTTTCTCCTCCACCCTGGGGGGTAGAGACTCGGGCTTTTTGCTCTCACTCCTGGTGCTCAGCATGCAGTAGGTGCTAATTAAACCCGGTGCAGTGATGGAAGCTGAGTACCAGACGTGATTTTAGTCAGCATCTGCTATGTGCAAACTGAGTATATTCTGCTTGGTGGAGGTAGAGTTGTCCCCATCTTACAGAGGGTATGACCGAGGCTCTGGTGTTTCAAGCTCAGAGGCCAGGTAAAGAAGGCCTGGGTAAGCCTGGGAGGGACCTCTGGGGGATGATCAGCTCTGACAAGTGAGAACAGCAGTAACATGGGTCAGGGGTACCACTCCAGCCCCAGGCCTCACTCACCCAGAAGCCCACCAGAACATGGCCTTGGAGGGAAATGAGGCCTCAGTCTCTGGACACGGATTCTGGAAAAGACAACAGGCCGGGGAGGAAACAGTGACAGTGTCCACCTGTCATCCCGGCACTTAGGAAGCTGAGGCAGGAGGAAAGAGAGCTCAGGTCCACCCTGGGTTACATGGTAAGGCCCTATCTCAAAAAAGGACAGGCTGGCCTTGGTCTCACAGCCCATGGTGAGCAGGTGGCCAAGGTTAGGGAGACGGTGAACTGACCGTGAGTTTAATGAGTGGTGAAGTCCGGTGTCTCTTTACTACAGAGAGCTATCGGTAAGCTGAGAGGCAATAAGGACTGGAGGGCCAGGCATGGTGGCTCATACCTTTGATTCCAGCGGTAGGGACTGGCAGATCTCTATATGTAAGGTCAACCTGGCTTACATATCAAGGTCCAGGCCAACCAAGGCCGCATAGTGAGACCAAAAGGGCTAGAGGGCTAATGGAGTCAATAATGCAGAACAAGAGGTACTCAGAAGAATCGCTGTTACTTTACTGAGACCAGGAAGTTCTCTACCTGGCATAGTAGCTCACGCCTATAATCCCAAGACTCTGGAAGTAGGAAGATTGCTGTGAGTTCAAGGCTAGCCTGGGCTCCCTAGTGAATTTCAGGCTGCCCTGGGCTTCAGTGTGAGAGCCTGCCTTAAAAACAACAAGAACAGCAGCAGCAACAACAACAGCAACAACGAACCTCAAAGCTAGGACCATGTTATGAATATGAGATATGGGGCCCAGTGATAGAGAGTGTGTGATGGTGGGGGGGGGGAGAGGGGGTGTTGAGGGCTATCACTTCCAGGTCCATCACTGCTTCCTGTCCCCCTTGGGTGTGAGGAGTTCCCCCCACACAATCCCACCACCCCAATGGGGCTGCTCTCATCACCATGATGGACTGAAAACCTCTACAACTGTGAGCCAAGATAAGCTCCTCCTTCAGCCGTTCCTTCAGATATCTGTCACAGCGAGGAGACAGTAACTAATACACCATTCAAAAGGAAGATGTGTCCTGTGACTTTGCAATCCTCCTGCCTTCCAGGGCTGAGGTCACAACAGATGCCTCCATGATGGGCCATGCTAAATGGCTGAACGAATAACAACAGGAAAACACAACTTGTGTTCTAGGCCAACTGCCTTTGACCACATGGGGTTGTTGACATCAGAAGAGACCCAGCGATAAAGGAGGTGCTGAGCTCAGTACATAGTGGCTGACTTACCAGTGTCTGGGAGTCTTCCAAGAAGAAGGGTGGCTGGTCCACCAGACAGGACAGCGCGAACTGGGCCACCACCAGAGACAAGCACAGGTAGGTGGCCAGGTGGTCGAGGGGCTCATGGTGGAAGCTCTGTGGGGACAGAGAAGCCCCACTGAGCCCTGGAGTGGCGCTCAGAAACAGTGAAGGGGTTCTAGTGGTCTAGGTTGAGACTGAACATGGGTCCTGAGGCCTGGAGCAATTTCTAGAGAGGAACCAAGCCCTGGCTCATGAAAGCACGGTCCTAGCATTCGTAGCCACCCTGGCTCACAAACATGTGCCTTAATGTGTGAGTGAATCCAGCCTCTGGGGCAGTAACAGGAGGGGCACTGGGTGTCTTCCTCCTTTCCAGCCCTGCGGTGGCTGAATCAGAATGGCCCCCATGGGCTCATATACTTAATGCGTAGTCACCAGGGAGTGACATTATTCAAAAGGATTAGAAGGATTAAGAGGTGTGACCTGATTGGAGAAAGTGTGTCACTGGGTGGGCTTTGAGGTTTAATAAGCCCATGTCAAGCCCAGGGTCTCTCTCTCTCTCTGCATATTGATCAGGGTGAACTCTCAGCTCCTTCTCCAGCACCATGGCTGACTGGCTGCTCCCATGCTCCCCACCATGATGACAATGGACTCACCTCTGAAACTGTAAGCCAGACCCAATTAAATGCTTTCTTTTATAATAATTGCCTTGGTCTCTTCACAGCGATAGAATGGTGGCTAAGACAAGCCCCAACCTCTCGTTTAGCTGATTTTATCAGCATCTATTCGGCACTGGCTTCTCCACAATCTTACCGTGTCCAACCTGCCCTGATTACCCAAGCACCAGCTGGATGTGATGGTGCACACCCGAACTTCCCACATGCAGGAGGAGGATCATGAGTTCGAGGCCAGCCTGGACTACAGTGTGAGACCAATCTTAAAAACAAAACAAAATGCTGGGCAGTGGTGGCACACGCCTTTAATTCCAGCACTCGGGAGGCAGAGCCAGGAGGATCTCTGTGAGTTCAAGGCCAGTCTGGTCTACAGAGCGAGACCCAGGGAGGACAGAAACTACACAGAGAAACCCTGTCTTGAAAAACCAAAAAAAAAAAAAAAAAGAAGAGAAAAGAAAAACAAAACAACAAGAAGAAAAGAGAATAAGGCAGAGTGGTAGATCAAGACACACACGTCCTCCTGGCCTCTGCACACGTATAGCACATCCTCAGACACATCCACATATGCACATAGCACACTGCACCCTACAAATGGTATAATCATCATCTATCAGTTCAAAACATAATAAAATACATTGGATGGAAGGTACTTGTGGGGGAGGGTGTGTCACGTGTGGAAAACGGGACAGAACAGAGGTTTGACGCCACCCTACGGGCTTCCCCAGGGCCCCACTCACCCCTGCAGAGGCCCGCCGGGCGGTGTCGATAGCTGGCAGGAGACAGCAAAGCAGCCAGTACCCAAAGAGCACCCCAGATGCCCGGACTCCCTTCTTCCTCTCCATGTGAATCAGGAAGGTGGCAAAGCTCTAGACAAGAAAGGGTGGGGGGCAGAAGGGGAAGCTCCCAGGGTCCCCACCTTCTCCACGCTCCCGCACCACAGGAAAGCAGCAGCGGGGTGGGGGGGGCAGCTGGGCGGTGATTACCATGGTGGTGAGCCACACGGTAGGGTAAATGAGAAGCTCTGGTGCCTGGGGCATCCCCTGGTGGATCCTCCACAGAGGCATGGCCACGTTGAACGTGTATAGAAGTATGAGGGAAAAGCCAAGCACCTGGAGAAACAGACTCATAAGACTGCCAGGGGAAAAAGAAAAACCGGAGGCAGACTGGAGAAGCCTGATGGGGCTCTGTCAGTGACGTCATCGATGTGTCCTCCCTGCTCGGGAGCCATTGAGACCCATCCTGACCTTCAACTCATGTCAAAAATGCTCAGCAATAGCTTGCACCTGCCTATCCAGTGTTTCGCAAGCCACAGAAGAAGCCGGAAGAGTGCGTGCTGGGGTGATGTAGGGTGTGAAGTGAGGGTTATTTGCTAGGTGACAAATTATGTCTTCTTTGGATGCCGCTTTAGGATGAGTGATCCTGCCGGGCTCTTTCAGACTTGAGGCAGACTGTTTGCTGATCGCAAGCCCCAACTTCAAGTGCTCTTGGGAAGGTGCTGTTGAAACACCTGACTGCTCCAGGGGATCCCCACCAGTTAAAGCAGACCCTGGAATGCCTCTCTGGCACACTTTTCAGGACTAGCCTGCAGCAGCTGTGCCCCGGTAGAGCTAGTGACCTCTACGTCTGCCTTCCTGGTCCTGGCGATTCTTTCACCACCCGCCTCTTATTGTCACCCCTAACACGGTGTTTGGGGGACCCTCATTAGGACCTCTCGCCACTCTTGGCTTGGTCTCTTTTCTCGCATATTTGTGGTGGTGAGCTGATCAACCCACCAGCAACTGCAGGTCTCTGGCTGAGACTGGAGGCCTGCAGGCTGTGACCTGAGGGCACCGTCGTTACCTGTCAGGGTGCAAACTAAGAAGTTCCTTCCAGCTCCCGTGGAAAGCCTTACTTCCTGTTTGCAATGAATGGACCCTGGCCAAGGGTACACTTCGGTGAAAACTGAAGGGGGCAGAAAAAGGGGGGGGGCAGCCAGAAACTGCCGGTGGTCACTCTCCCTCCTGGGAGCCTCCTCGGCTCCTCCTGGCTCATCGGCACACACTGTGGGAGTCCTAACGTTTGCTGTCCCATTCCACTCTGCCTCTCGGTGAGAGCCATTCGGACCAAGCCTCTGGACCCGAGTTTGCCTCTGCTGGATCTTCTGCCTCCCGTCCAGTAAATGGAATCTCTCCTTTCCTGTATGAACCTAACTGGTCATCAGAATAATATGGCCTCGAGCTGTAGATTGGCCTGGTGCCTGCAGACAGTTTGGCCATGTGTCAATGGCCATGTGTAGGCAATGTCCCTGTAGAGAGGTGCCTCCGGTCCTCTCTGGGTGACCAGAGTGGTGTACTGACCACAAAGGAACCTCGTAGGAACACCCACTCTCAGACCTGTCATGGGACAGTCATCGATGTCCCTCCCAGCTCCCCTCCGTGCTGTGTTCTTACCAACTGCCACGAATTTCACCCTTAGCCTCTACAGAAGAGACATTACACCTTCCTGTGTAATGTCACCTGCCCACAAAATGGGTATCAGCAGACCCGAGCCCTCCGAGGCACTCTAGACCATCTCACATTCTGCGGCTTGACCTGTTCTATCAGAATCTTTGAAAGTAAATGTATTGTCGGCTGGGCGGTGGCGGCGCGCACGCCTTTAGTCCCAGCACTCGGGAGGCAGAGCCAGGTGGATCTCTGTGAGTTCGAGGCCAGCCTGCTCTACAGAGCGAGAGCCAGGACAGGCACCAAGACTACACAGAGAAACCCTGTCTCGAAAAACAAAACCAAAAACAAAACAAAAAAGTAAATGTACTGTAAAGAAGACAAGTGTTCTGGGTCCAGCATGCCGTGGCTGGAGCCAACAGCCAGCGTCCTGTCTAGGTTGCACCACAGTGCTGCCCTCTCTTCCTCCCCAACTGTAGCCAGTCGCTAGCACTTCCTGTCCTCCACGGGAGCAGATGCCCTTTGTATCCTAGACTGTAGCCTCAGGGTTGACGTGCAGACGTTTTTAGCTGTCTATTTTTTCTCTTTCTCTGTGCTTATACTGACATAACTCACTGTCCAAGGTCATCTGTTATCCTTACTAATTTTTGCAAAAATGCAACACTCTGAAACTCTCAGACTCTTATAAGGTGAAGGACAAAAGGTGTTTAAGAAAAGGCCTTTAGGGCTGGAGAGATGGCTCAGAGGTTAAGAGCACTGACTGCTCTTCCAGAGGTCCTGAGTTCAATTCCCAGCAACCACATGGTGACTCACAACCATCTATAATGAGATTTGGTGCCTTCTTCTGGCCTGCAGGGACACATGCAGACAGAATACTGTATACATAATAAGTAAATAAATCTTTTTTTTTTTTAAAGTCAACACTTAAAAAAAAAAACCTTTAAAAAAAATCCACGAAACAATAAAGTCCTCCTGAGACCCACAACAAGTGAAAGCCTCAGAGTTTAGCAATGTGGAACTGGGGGTGGGATTGGAGGAATTACACCTATAACATCAGTCCTGGGGAGATGGAGGTACACACAGCAGAAGTTCAATGTCAGCCAGAGCTACCTAGCAACTTCCAGCCAACCTGGAATGAAGGCCTTCCAGCCTACATGAGACCTTATCTTAAAAAAAAAAAGCAAAAAGTATAAAAAGTGCCTTAGTCAGAGTTTCTATTGTAAAGGAAAACATTTCATTGTATCTCTCACAGCGATAGAAACCCTGGCTAAGACAGTAAGAATGAGGATATAGTTTTGTTAAGGAAAGAATATCAGCTTGGGATGGCAAGGGTTCTGTATGATAAAATTTGAATTTGCTCTTAGGTAAAAATGATTGGCTGCTTCCAAAATAAAAAGGGAAAGCTGGGGACAGATGACAAGGTTAAGCCCACGGCACCAGGGCAGAGTAAGTCCCGAGCGATGAACCTTCAAGATGGCCCAAGTGTGACAGCTAAACACACTGGCAGACTCCAGGACACCGACATACGACCGCAGCAGGCCTCTCCCGACTAAGCTTCAGACCCGGATCTGCTCTTGGTGACCTTACAGAAAGCCATCTTAACGAACAAACATTTTATGTTTGGTGGGAATATTCCTGATGTTTTCTACTAACTTTCTTTCCTGGCTTTTAACTACTTGAAAAACAGTCTTCTGATAAAAGTTTATTGGAAATCTGTTTGCTTTAGTGTACACAGCATCTAAATATTACATGACTGTGAAAACGAAAATCCATTGCCTCCTTTACAAACCTGGCTAAGATCAGCTAGAGGGGGACAAGCTTCCTCTCAAAAGGCCCTGGGACCCTGCAGGCCACTTTGTCCTCTTGATTAGACAGGCCACAGACGCAAGAGGCCAGGCTCGAACCAGGGTGTGCCAAGAAGGAAAGGATTACAGGGAGAGATGCCCCTGCGTGCTTAAGGGAAGCTGAGCTCACGTGGGGAGGAAAACTGTTCCGTCCTCAGGTGATGTAAGTATAGAGGAAAGGTAGAGGACCAGGTCCTCCTAGGTCCCTACGAGAGAGCCTTCCGAGCCTTCGGCTGACCTGACGGCCAAAGGAAGAGGGTTAGTGTTGGGCCCCATCATTACAAACAGTATAAAACAAAATTTCACCAGATCCTGACCAGAATTTATATCAAAACCCAGTGTAGCTGGGCATATGGTACTCTCACGGCTTTTAAAAGAGAGTCACTGGCATACTTAAAGGAGCATTATCAGGTCCTATTAAGTCCTGACCGGAATGGCTCTCAAGTCCCAGGAAGACAAAACTGTACTTTTCAAAAAGCCTTCCAGGTGAGAATCATGAGGGTTCTACTGGAATGATAAACTGAGGACTTAGATCTCCTTTCCAAAGGAGACTGCAGGCCAGCCAGCTTCAGAGAAGTGAGTCTCTGGGTCTAGGATACACAGCTCTTGTTTTAAAGTCATTAAGGGGGGAACAGCATATTCATTATTTTTTATTATTTGTATTATATATAAATAAATATAACATTATTTACTTACATGTATGTGTCTGTGTGCATGCGTGGGTGGGTGTGCAAACACATGTCACAGCACCCATGTGGAAGTCAGAGGGCAACCTATGGGGGAGTGATTTTTCTCCTCTCCCTGTGTGGACTCTGAGGTTTGAACTCAGATCATCAGGTTTTGGGACAAGTACCTTTACCCACTGACGATTCTTGCTTGTCCTGCCCTTGCCCCCTTTTAATCTATCTATCTATCTATCTATCTATCTATCTATCTATCTATCTATCTATCTATCTATCTATCTATCTATCTATCTATTATCTATCTATCTATCTATCTATCTATTATCTATCTATCTATCTATCTATCTATCATCTATCTATCTATCTATCTATCTATCTATCTATCTATCTATCAAGGTTTTTCGAGACAGGGTTTCTCTGAGTAGTTTTGGTGCATGTCCTAGATCTTTCTCTATAGACCAGGCTGGCCTCGAACTCACAGAGATCCACCTGGATCTGCCTCCCAAGTGCTGGGACTAAAGGTGTGCCCCGGCTTTCACCCTCTTTTAAATTGGAGACAGGTCCCATTATGTTGACTTGATTGTCCTAGGACCTCTTAGGTAGATCAGGTTAGCCGCAAACTTGAAATGATTGTCCTGCCTGTGCCTCTCAAGTGCTCTACCAACAAATCCTTTCTTAACTTCCCTGAAAATCTCCTCAAGATGTTCTGTTCTTAGTAAAAACCAATTCATTTGGCTTTAAACAAATAAAAATTTAGGGTCCCCTATTTAGGGTGCCCTCCATTATTGAAAAAAAAAAGCTGAAAAAAGGATTCTTCATCCCTGTGTGTCTGTTACATGATTTCCAGGCTTGACCTACACAGGCCACCTTTTACTCCAGACTTTAAAACATCTTCCTTGGGCCAGTGGGATGGCTCAGCAGGTAAAGAGCCAAGACTAGTGAATTGAGTTTGAGCCCCAGGACCCAAGAAGGGAAGGACGGACACTACCTGCTGCTTTGTGGGTCCACACACATTCGCACACAAAATAAAGTTTAAAAATGTAATTTTAAAAAAGAGCACTGACTTTAAAAAACAAAACAAAACATATCTCTTGGCCTCTCTTGTGAGTCTTGAGACCCAGGAGGACCCCCAGCATGTCAGGGTGACAGCCACACATTTACAGAGGTGTCACAGAAAGTGAATCCTCTGCCCGCCCTTGTGCCGCCACCCCCCTCGGCCGGCCGCCATCTTTCCTCCCACTCACTGCTTCGGTGAGTGCGGCCATGGCCGCCTCTTACCCCTCTAGCAGGCCTCCAGTACCAACTGCTCTGTATTTTCAGTCTTCTAAACAAATCAAGTTTGTTTCTTCCAGAACGCAACAGAACTGACTTCTGATAATTACACATGCCAAGCATGGCTGCCCATGCCCCTGATCCCAGCCCTGGGGAGGGAGAGGTATGTGGATCTTGTGAATTCAAGGCCAGCCTGGGCTACATAGTGAGGTGTAGGTCAGCCAGGGCTACATAGTGAGAACTTGTTTCAAGAAAAGAATTTTTTTTTTTTTACACCAAAGGTATTAATATTAGCCCATCTTTTCTGAGCTGGATCTTGAAGTTTGGTTTTGTTTGTTTTTTAAGACAGGGTTTCACTGGTAGTCCTGGCTGTCCTGGAATTTGTTCTGTAGATCAGGCTGGCTTTGAACTCACAGAGATCCACCTGCCTCTGCCTCCCAAGTGCTGGGATTAAAGGAATTCACCATTACCACCTGACTGCAATTTCTACACTGGATTAAACAGGACAAAACTTCCGGGGGGCCTCTTGTCAATAAACTGGTTGTTATTACTTAAACCAATAGATGCACATCCTCAACATAACCAGCCTGAATGCCCACATACATGACAGGGTGTTGTACCCACAAAACCCACAACTCTACCACAGAAAGTGCTCTGACAGCGGTTCCACCCCCCTCGCCCCAAGAGTCTTCACAACTTTGTCCCTCGGAATGGGCCATCTTAATACGTCCGTCCTCAACTCCCGTCCCTCTCAGGGACACCTGTCAGACCGACAATAGACAGGACCACATCTGTTCAGCTGGAAGATCTACTGAAGGGACCATCACCCAAACGTCAAAGGTTTGACATGGTTGCATCTGTTGGGGTGAAGTGTGGCTGCCGGTTAGGATGGGGGGTCACATCGAACCATTTCTCACTTAAGGCAGGACCATCACTGTCTCAAGGCCAGGTTGCTCCCTGCCTCCTCGCTACTATACCATGGTTTGATATCTCTGCAGAACCTCCCCAAGGAAACGTCCCCCCAGAATGCCCCCACGCCGTCTTCCTGCCTACTCAGTGCCGTGCTGTACCACAGCTAATCCAATAACCTCTACTTCTGCCGTTTTCCTGCCCCGCGAATGCTTTTACTCCCACATCGCTGTTCTGTCTGTGCTAAGGGTTATGGGCATGGCGTAGGATCTCTACTAGGAAGTCCAGGAGAGGGACGGGGCTGTGCGGATGACTCAGTAGAGGATGTTTGTTATGTCAGCGTTCATCAGAGAACCGTAAAAGAGTTGTACGGCAATTTTTAAAAAGGCTCAGCTGGACTGCAAGCAAGGAGAAAACAAGCATGGAGCTGTTTGGAAGTGTAGCTCAGTGGTAGCTGTGTAAGCACGAGGCTCTGGGATCTACCCCCAATATAATGGGGCAAGGCAATAAGTAAACTGGTGTCTGGCTCATGCCTGTGTCCCCAGAAATTGGGAGGGGAGGAAGGGGGGTCAGGAGCTCAGGGTCATCCTTAGCTACATAGTGAGTTTGAAACAAGCCTGTGCTACATAGGACCCTGTCCTAACAAAACAAAACAAAACAAAACAAAACAAAACAAAACAAAACAAAACAAAACAAAACAAATAAACAAAATACCTGCTAAAGTTATAAAAAAGACTCATCTTCATATGGCTCTAAAATTACCATTTGCACCCCAATGTACCTACAGTAAATGAGAAATGTCAGGTCACTGTAGCTATTTGATTTTCTTGGTGTGAGAGTGTGTGTAGATTTGCACAATCACAAAATCTGTTTGTGAGAACTTTGACCCGTGGGTTTATCTCTGGCCCTCTTCACTATTGACCCATTTGGCTAACAGCGTCCCTTCTCGCCTCTGTCCTATGTTCTTGCTCATGGGAGGCATGGAGTCTCTGCCGGGTTCCAGCCTGCCCCCCCCCACAGCTGGCTGCCTCCCCACTCCATGGTTCCAGGTTCCCCGTGGCTACCATTTTGACCTTGAAGAGGTGGGACATCCGGAGGTAGCGCCTGCCATGGCGATGGATGTAGAACAGGTAGATGGGGCCGAGGACCCAGAGGTACAAGGGGGGCGCCCAGCCCCCAGCTGCTCTCAGGAAGCACAGGCTGAGCAACCGATGGGCCACAGACTCCCGCTCTGTCTGGTTCCAGACCTGAACAGAACATCAGGGACACCATTAGGATGGTGGCCGCCTGGGCCCAATCTCACCGGCCCGTGGGGACGGACATTACATGAAAATATTCCAAGCCCTCCCTGCTGAGCCTTTTCATTCTCAGCTCTTTTCATCCTGACATCAACTCCAGAAGGCAGATCAAGTTACACCGACTTAGCTTATGGGGAAGTAGCCCAGAGCAGGTATGGAACTTGCCTAACGCTAGTCAGCTGGGGGGGCAGTGGGGCTGGGGCTGGCTTTGAACTTGTGATCCTCTGGTTTCAGCTTCCCAAGTGCTGGGCTTATAGATGAGTGACACCATGTCTGACTTGGCTGGTACCCTTTATCAGAACTCTGGTGGTAGTTGCTACTGTCCCCATTTCATAGACCAGTAGACTGAGGTACCAAAAGGGAACTGCGCCCCCAAACAGGATGTGGCAGAGCTGATTGTGCCCTCTTCTGTCAAGGAGGGATAATAGAGTCTCCCTGTACAAACTGCCTGGAGCAGCCTAACTTGCTGAACTCACAGCACCCTGCACCGAACCAGCCCTCTGTGAACACCAGCTCTTCACTGCTAATCTGGTCTTTATCAGCCGGACTCCAGGCTCTAGAGTAGGGTCTAGATGAGGAAGGCAGCGACAGAGGAGACACCGGTCCATTAGCTTTATGTAAATAATAACCTAAGTCCCCAGTCTTAAAGCCTGCTGGGCTCTTCAGGGCCCCAGGCTTTGGTGAAGGGGTCTGGATTTGTTGCTGCTCAGCTCAATGTCCTTATTGCTTCCCAAGGGCAAGAATTTGGGGCCTTTCCCAGCAGCTGAGTTCTCCTTGCACCAGGGAAGAGAGTGGGGCAGATGGGACTCACCCTCAGACCGGTGCAGGGCTCTCCAGGCGCGGCCATTGGGCGCCCTCTGTCCATCAACCCTTGGTCTGTCTGTCCCAGAGCAGCCTTCAGAGCCAGGCGCCAGACTGGGGAAGAGGCGGGCCCGGGCGGGTTTGACTGGGATTGGAGCTGGGAAGCGGAGAGGTCCGGGGCAAGGTCCAGCAGCACAGGGAGGTGGAGCTGGTGCTTGGTGAGGTGATTCTGGAACCTCAGTGCCGGGACACCTCCACGCTTCCTCTCTGTGGGAAGCCCCTTCCCAACTTCCTGCACACTCTGGGCCCAGCCATCGCAGGAGGGTGCCCTTAGGAAAGACAACAGATTAGTAACCTAAGCGTTCAGCAACTGGGGACCGATGTGGGCTAGATGCGGGCGCTGGGAAGAATGTAAAGAGTCTTACTTTAAAAAACATTTTTGCCAAGCGGTGGGGGCGCACGCCTTTAATCTCAGCACTCGGGAAGCAGAGGAAGGCAGATCTCTGTGAGTGCGAGGCCAGCCTGGTCTACGGACCAAGTTCTAGGACAGCCAGGGCTGTTGTTACACAGAGAAACCCTGTTTCAGAGAGGTGGGGGTGGGGAAATTAAAATTACTTATTCAAGTGTGTAAATTCATTTGAGAGAATGAATTCAAAGGAAAATCAACTGGACAAATCTCAGGCATACAAGAGAAAAAAAAACCTTCAAAATGTTTTTCTATGCAAGTGTTAGAATTGGGATGAAAATAAAATGTAAATATCTCTAATATTATTATGAACCTAAACAATACGTTTTGATTAAGAAAACATCATTTAGCCAGACAGGTGGCATATGCTTTTAATCCCAGCACACAGGAGGCAGAGGCAGGCTGATCTCATTGAGTCTGAGGCTAGCCAGGGCTACCTAGTTAGATGCTGTTTCACAAATGGCATCATTTTTGACAGAAAAGCCATGCCAACAGAAATACATCCGTTATAATCAAGAAGCCAGATCACAGATTTCATTTCATTATGTGCACGTATGGGGTATGTTGACACAAAACCACAGCTTTTATCTTAAAGGGAAGAGGATAGTTTATTTTGGAGCCATTTTGAGCTGTGGCCCAGGAACGCAGATTTGGGTCACCCCAGATTCCATCTTCTGTCAGTGTTCTGAGTTATATGGGACAGCTGAAGAAAGAGGGTCACTCCAAGATGACTTTAGGCCTCACAGGCAGCCGGGAGGTCCAGCCTAGACGAACTGAACCTCAAACGCCTGTGCAGAGCGTAAACGTTGTTTTTAGAGTAAGACAAGTTCCTCATACCGAAGCCCCCGATCTAATCTGTGGTTTGTGAGGGAAAGCATCAAACCCTGCAACTTTGGTCCTTGTGCACTGTTTGAAGTATTCAGTCATGCCAGACGTTCCAGGGCCCTCTTGTGGCTGAAGTCATGCAAAGGCTGTAAAGGTCCTTCAGAAAAACAGCGCCATAGATAACAGAGAATGGTCACTGTTTTCTACAGTGATTTCTTCAAGGTCTAAACACCTCCAACAAACAACTGTATCATTCTGATGTTGGTCCTAGACACGATTGACTCTGCTAGATTTTCACTACGGTCTTCCAACATGCAGCTTCACGAAGTTTTTATGGTTTTTACAGAACAGAGAAAGTCATAAATTAAAGCAAGTTTAGAATATGTTGATGAGCATGTCGGAGAAGCAGGTGCAGCAAGGTGGGGGAGCCTTTCCTGTAGCCCAAGATGCTATCTGAGGACCTTCTTCAGCACAGGGAGGGAGGGAGGGCACAGGGGATGATGTGGCTGTCCCAGAGGGCCAGAACTGGCCCAAGATAAGGCCATTAGCCTCTGGGCCTGCAACATTCCAGCCTCTCCACTACTGACATTCCAACCAGCCAGGTTCTTTTCAGGAGTTTTTGTTCACAGTGTACACATGCACGCAGAGGTCAGAGGACAGCTCTGAGTGTCATCCTCAGGAAGGAGGTCCACAGCCTCTCTTCGTTCTGAAGCTTACCCGTTAGACGAGAGAGTGAGCCCCAGGGTCCCCCCGTCTCCACCTCCCCAGTGCTGGTCACCACAGCTGGCATGGTTTGGGGATCAAACTCAGATCCTTAGGTCGCAAGGCAAACAATTTACTGACTGTGTCATGGACCCAGGACACCCCCTCAGTGCTCCTCCCACCCACCACCCCTTATTCTCTGGTTACACTGGTACTTCCTGTGTAACTCAAGCAGGGCTTGAACTCATGGAAGTCCTCCTGTCTCAGCCCCATGAGTGCAGGGATTGATTATTAGCCACGTTCAACGTGTACGTGTACCAGTGCTGGGAAGTGTTTTTAGGGTCTTGCTAGGCATGCACTGAGCTATTTCCCCGGCCCTTTTAAATATTTTACATTTTATTTTCAGACAGTGTCTAAAGATGTTCGGGTTGTTTTTGAACTTGCTCTGTAGCTCAGGCAGGCCTTGAACTTGTCTGGCTACAACGAGATTTTGTTATAGAATTAAGGTGGGAATGCAGGAAGGAGAACCAAGTAACAAATGTCTAAAGGGCTTTTTGAAATTACAACTGACTTGTGAAGTATGTGAGTCAGGCGATTTGGGACTTGTTGACTACGTCAATCAACAAAAAAAGCTCTCAGTTGTTGACACTGAATCTGAAAGCCTGTCGGGGCCGCTCCTTGCAGAGGCTGCGCAGAGTCCTCCAGGACGCCAGAGGCGCCAGCGGCCGCGACTCCGGGCGGAGCGCGTGTCCTGGCGGTCTTTCTTGGGGGGCGTGGCGCAGGGCCGCGGCGCGCCTGCGCGGAGCGGCGCCGGGGCGGGACCCGGGCTTGTCAGGCCAGCGAGGAGGAGGAAGGAGCCGGCTGCGTGCGGTGTGAGGGGCGGGACCGGGCGGGCTGCGGAGGGTAGGCACGCGGAGGCCGGGCCATGCGTGCGAGCCGGGGTGCCGCGGCGCCGCTGCTGCCGCTGCTGCTGCTGCTGAGCGGCGCGGGGCGGGCGGGCGGCTCCGAGGACATCGTGGTCGGCTGCGGAGGCTTCGTGAAGTCGGACGTGGAGATCAACTACTCGCTCATCGAGGTGAGGCGCCGCGCGTGGCGGGCCGGCTGTGTGACCCCGGGCCAGGCTCTCGGCGGCTCTGCACCCTCCCCCAGCCGCGCCGAGGGGCGGGGACGGAGAGGGCCTGCTAGACCCCGGCTCCCCCAGACCAGGACCCCTGAACCTCAGATCCGCCCGACCCATATTGTAGAACCTGGAAACCACACGTGTCACTCTCCAGCCTGCGAACCCCAGGGTTCGGACCCGTCGTTCCTTCATCCTTCCCGGGGTGCCTTTGAAGAGGATCGATTCCCGTCGCTAAGTCCTGACATGGAGCAGTAGAGCACCCCCTGGGGCTGTGAAGCCGCCTCCCCTTCCCCACCTCTCCTTTCCGTTTCGAAGTGCAGAGTTGCTGGAATTACACTAGAGATTTGTGGAGCTATTTTTGACTGAGTCGAAAGTTGTGTGGAATGGTTATCAGCCCAGTGGGATTCTGACCCAGAAAGCCCGTGAGAAGAAGAAGGGGCGGGGTGGGGTGGGGTGGGATGGGGTGGGGTGGGCAGAAGTAGACACAGGGGCCCGGAGGGAGAGCAAGGCCTGGTTTTCCCGAGGAGACTGGTAGTGGGGCCAGAGAAGGGAGGGGGAGGGGAGGAGGTAGACAGGTGCCCATCCCGGAGGAGAAATGTGGTGCCAAGGAGAAGGGCACGCGAGGCCCCCTTTGAGCTGTCCCAGTGCTGGCAATGGCCACCTTTAACATGTCACTTAGGACTGGGGGAAAAGGTGAGAAGCCGTCCCCACCCTACCCTTCCCCACCCTACCCTTCCCTTTGGCCTTTGTCCAAACCCCAGTCTGTAAGATGGTGTTAGAAGCGGCAGAACCTAGAAGCATGATTTCCTAAGGCGGAGAATCAGTTGTCCTCTTCCAGGCTTTCCGTGTGTGCCTCTCTAGTTGGTTGGCTGATTTATATTTTATTTTCCAATTTTTTTGAGACAAGGTTCTCATATAGCCCAAGCTGGCCTCAAGTTCAATATACCCTAGGCTGGCTTTGAACTCTGGACTCTCTTGCTTCCAAAGGGCTCCTTACAGGAGGATGCCCTGGGTCCTTCTACCCAGGGCCCCTTGGGAACTGCTGGTGACATGTTCCCAGGTGCCTCTGCCACCTCCTGGCTTTGCAGAATTGGGCATCTCAGAAGCTGCTTTGGAGAGGCTTTCCAGTTTGGACTTCCTGCAGCGTTGGGAGGAAGGAGAAGGCAGTGGGGTGCTGTCACCCCCATGCACTAACAGGGATAAAGAGAGCAGAAAAGGGGTTTTGTGGCCCATTGTGAACTGTGCTTCTCGAGCCCTAGGGTTCCTTGTCCACTATGTCCCTTGTCCAATAACGTCTTGAGCAACCATCCTTTTGCAATCTCTGCTTACGACATCAGACATTTCATGTATGTAATCCCCACGTAGATGTATGTTGCCCTTTTCTGATCTGTACTTTACGAAAGATGTACTGTATGGTCCAGAGAGTGAAGTATGGCAGCCAGTTCGTCCATCATTAAACGGAGCACTCAACACATCTGGCAGAAATCGACGGAGGAAGTCAGCTGTAGTCCTCAGTACAGTAAAAGAACATTACACCGTATAGAGATGAACCAAGATGACTTATAGAGATGCTATAAGTCAAGGGCTTATAGCATCCATCAGAAACAGACTGGGAGGTTGAGGCGTCAGCCAGAGTCCTGCTTGAGCTTTTTCTCCATGTTTGAGCTTCCCATGGCTGAACTTGTGACTTCCCCAGGCATTTTTGTATCATGGGAGGGACAGTAGTGACATCTGTTAGGAATAGTTCACCTTCCAGCTGTTCTCGATGATGTGATGTTTTACTCCTGGGTGTTCTGCTGTCCTCTTCCCTCCCTGTCACAGGGATGGGACCAGTCCTTGGAAGACACTTTTAGACAAGCATGCTTAGGTCTAAAATGGGGATGGGACAAGACTGCTCCCAGAGCCAACTTCTCAGTGAGCTCAAACAGCATGTGACAATTGACCAATACAATGTATTTTATAGCATATAAGTAATCTGGGTTTTTCAGTCTCCCCTTCTCCCCCTTTCTCCCTCCCCTTTTCTCCTC